ACCACATCGTTTAGTGACAGAGTTGCCAGTCCCAATTGTGGTCGTTAAGTGAGGACTACCTGTACTACCATTTCATACATTTAAGCAATTCAAATTCATCTTGCAATAGCCCTCAATTGCTGTAAAAGCTTGATTGACAATAAACTAGAGTATTACAAGGTGGGATTATCCCAAAGTGTAAATTTGTCATAGGAATAAAGCTTGAAATTATACTTCTGTCAAAACATTGTGCAGGAAATAGAATATAGCTATTGCTAAAAATAGAGCCAAATGCCTGCCATGATGATAAAGAGGTCACTTCATAATTTTTAAATTGTGCTTCCCACAGTAGTTTTTTAATTTAATCACCTACATTGCATAGAGAAATTGAGAGCAAATAATATGCTCAACAATCAAGTTGAAAGTCAGGAAAGTTAAATTTCCCATCATAATATGATAGCCATAATTTAGATAAAGAAAATCTAGGGGTTTGATCTTCTCATATAAAAATGCTTACATTTGCTTAAAATTACCTAAAGGTATTGGTATGGGATTACCTTTAAGAAAATAAATATGGTAATCTTGAAGTACTATCTTGAACATTTCTCTTTCCATGTAAATGCAACTGGATTTTAAATCATCTACTTATGTTGGTTTTTATCTGAGATTTTAAAGTTGATATATTTAGATCCAGAAATAATTTAATAATAATGATAATAATTGGTTAAACTTGTGTGCTGCCTGATTCTCCACAACTCTGGGTGGCTCACAACAATCAAAGAAATTACAAAAACATAAAAGATAAAGATAAAAGATGGTAAGAGTGATGAAGCAAAGGATCTCACTTTCCCTTGCCAAAGGCCTGGGCGAAGAGCTAGGTCTTCATAGCTCTTCTAAAGAACAGCAGAGAGGGGGACCATCTGGATCTCGAGGGGAAACTCATTCCAGAACTGAAAAAAGTTTCCTTGGAATAATTTTTCTCAGACATTTACAAGAATTTCAGCAACAAATAAAATTGTTCCAATTTTCATTTTAATATTAGAGCCTATAGTATACATAGCACTCTATTGTAGAGTGTACTACAGTATAGTATAATGTATGACACATAGTCCAGTTACATTTGATCTTAGCCAAATGACTCAGAAGTTCCAATTTATTGAAGCACAAAAATATGGGATTGTCTATGCTTAGTTTTATATATAGGTTCATATTAGTTTTCTATTCAGTTTAGTAACTGAGCTGTCTTTCAGACTTTCACATGAATAGGAACTGGAAGCCAGCCATCAACTCTGGCCAAGTTGTATGTTGGATTTTGATCACCTCTTCCAAATCCTCATTTTGAAATCAAGACTCAATTTTTCTTCTCTGCTCCCATTCCTTTGGGAGAAACTCATGCACACTCTTCATACACACTTTTTATAAACCCGCATATATTTAGCTTCAGTCTAATTCATGGAGTTTAACTCATTCAGGGTTACAGAAATTCAAGAAAGAAAAAACAAACCATCAATGATTATATAGTTAAGTGGAATGCCTGACTTTAGAGGAAATGTTGCAAAATGTTAGGGATATACAATGCAACATGACAATCATCCTCATCCATTGATTTTGAATTTCAACGTTGTCTAGCTGGCCCTCAATAGGAAAGTGAATGCTGGAGTAGAGAGAGACAGGCAGTTATATTTACTTATCCCTGCAGACATTATAGGAGGACAACCCTATTAGTCTATGGTGCAAAAAATCAGGAGGGGTCTGGTAGCACCTCTTCTAACGCATGTTATTAAAAGGCATACGTTTTCATGGGCTGATCATCATCAGCCCATCATCATCAGTAACTGATGAAGTGAGTCACCAGGAGAGTTTATGTCATTTACTTATATAGTATCTATATGAGGAAAATACAAATATAGACAAATTATATTTGTCATAAAAATCTGAAATTACTATTGTTAATTGATTTAAGTGTTCAAAAGAGTAAAAAGGCAATCAAATAAATAAAACCTTGGGAAAAAAACAGGCCCAACATAACTAATGTCATCTTAAGTATACATCAGCCTTCCGAAATTTTCTATCAGGCATAACAGTCTGAAAATGTATGCTAATTTGTTTCATATTTTACATATATCCTAATCATATTACATTATCCTATTCTATTCCTGTGTTGGCTTTTACCCCTTAAACAGTTTCTTGCCTTTGTCTTCTACCCTCCTGCATTACATTTTCCTTTTCACTCTGCCTTTAGGATTTTGTTTCCCTGTAACTACAATTCATGTTCATGAGATCTATTTAAGCACTTGACTGTTTTATTTGATACTTTTACTTTATTTGAATAACCATCTTAGAACTTTTGTTTTTCTTCATTTAAGTTTCAGTAGCTGCATTGACCATTTGACAACTGTGATAGGATTGTTCTAAAAGCACATGGAAAGCAAGTAGGATAATGAAAGGCTACTCCCTACAAAACTCTTGTTGATTGAAATTAAATATGTTCCTCACATCTTTTCTATTGGCTTTAATGAATCAAAATTATATATTTCTTCTCAGAACAAAATGGCGAAATTATAAGTCACTATTATTTTTTCTGTTGCAATACCCTTCAATGGTATGTGTCTGAGTTGCTTAAAGGAATCTCTTACATATTTTTGTCCTGATTATAATGCTACTGTGTTTTTTATATCTATTCTCTCTTAACCTTTAATTTGCTGGTCTTTATAACCACAAATTTAAAAAAGACGCATTTTTCAAGATGGTATGATAATAAGGATAATATGGTATTAAGATAATAACATTTTGCATTATGTGAATATATACTTAATGCATTTTGTTATTGGTTAAAAATGACAATCTGGGACCCACATTTCAACATTATATTTCAGTTCATCACTGGCAGCTGTGTACCTTGCAGAGTGTCTTGCAAGGTAGCCAATGGGGCGTAATATAAACTATTAAAATTAGCAGTGATTTCGAATGATAGCACTAGGTTTGGCATGCCATCTCCCCCATCAAGGTATTGGAGGGAGGAAACAGTTGGTGATTCTCTGTAAACAATTTGCATAATCCTTTGAGACAGTCTATTCTGTCTGTCTTGACATGGATTTCATGTTGGGGCTGATCATAGATATGTAACCTTGGCAACCACTTGCCCATCCTGGGCAAGTTTTTCCCTTATGATTTTGATGATGAGGACAAGTATGTGGAAAAATAAGATGCTTACTCAGTGTTTGCCCCCCTGCCCCCAATCTACCTCGAGAGACTGGCTCCATGATTAAAGGAGGTGAAACATGTTTTCTTGTGGGAATAGACAAGAAGGTGTTGTAGACAAGGTATTATTCCCTATCTGAAAGGAACAATAATAAGATCTCATCTGAAGAAACATTGCTTTGATTTGGAAGATTTGTACAATTATAGACCAGTCTAAAATGCTACATTTCTTATAAAGGCAATTGAGAAGGTAGTGGCCTCACACTTCAAACATTCTAAATTATACTGATTTTGGCAGGATTTTGGCTAGGATATAGCACTGAAATTGCTTTGGCTGTCTTGGTGGATATCCTATGCTATAAATTTGCTGTGGGGAATGTGACTGTTAGTTCTGCAAGATCTCTTGATATCATTTTGAGGGGGCTGGTTGGGGCACTGTTTTAAAATTAATTCAGTCTCCTTCTTCTCAGGCTATGCTCAGAGGCAATATTGGGGAATTATTTATTTAATCCTAGGGTGTTCAGTATCTATATGACACCCACCTCTTCATTTACTTCCCTACTTCCAACCCCAAGGAAGGAAGTGGAATTAAAGCCTAAATTGGATTAATGAGAATATGAAATTAAATATAGATAAAAATTTTAATGTACTTTAATACTAGCATGTTTATATATTTACATTGTTTTTGTTTTTAAAAATTTGTTAAGCCTTTGTGTACTCATCAGAGAGAATGATGGGGTATAAACAAGCAAACAAATAAGTTTCTTTTCCTTCCTTGTCTTGGCTTTCCTGTGCAGAAAGCAGAAACTGAATGGTCAGCCAAGCAGGAGAGAGTTTTTCTTAAAACTTCAAGATCCTTCAACTCTCCTATTCTCAAATTCGTGAATCCTGAAATGGAAATGGAGAGGCAAATATCAGCACTCCATCTCCAGAGGCTGAGAAAAAGAATGACTCAATGTGTCCTGAAAAGAAAACCCGTAAGGGCAAGATCTTCATGATTTTAATATCAAATATTCAAGACATTCTGCAATGGATTGACTTCTAGTCAAGATTTTAATTATGCTGAGCACAAATTTTGTGAAAAATAAAAATATAAGATAATGGTATTTGCATTTTAACATTCTCCTATCACTTTTATCTTGGTTTTTAGTTTACTTGCACAATGCCATGAAAAAGGACTTGAAAACAAATCTAAGATGCTGCATTGTATATTATGATATTATGACTTGTAGAGCAATGATATATATGGAAAATTTTCCAGAGTTTCATTTTCTACTTTTACAAGTGTATGGCTTCATTAAAATTAGTAATATAATAAATACAAACTAATTTGTTAACTGCAGTCAGTAAAATACTAGCCCAAAACTAAACTAAAAATGTTACAAATATGAAACACCTGACAGTTTCCAATTACTGTATTCCAGAAGTGTTCTGAGCTTGAAAAGGCTGTGTTTTGAATTCAAAGTAGATGTTTTGACATTGAACTGGGCTGTTTCGAGAAGGAATACTTCCAAAATAGTTGGAAGAGCTTTGGAATCCATGTGGTTCAGTTGGAAGCTTAAAACATTTTGAATTTAAAATGTTTTATAAATCACAATTACCATCCTTGGACATTCTAAAATAAGTATGTCAAAATTGTACTCAGACTTAACCTGAAAAAGGCATTAATGTAAATGATCCATATATGATCAATTTGCCATTTAAAATATTTACAGTATCTGTAGTAAGACTCTTAAGTTAACTAAGTTTATTAGAATATTTAAAGCACGTAGAATATCCATGTGCAATCCTATTAGTCAGAATACTCTAGTGAATTCTGCAACCTTTGTCATTAAAAAAAAAAAATCCTTATTAGCTCATACTCTCCCCAACCCATCATACCCTTTCTTTCCAATATTGGGAAGGCTGGTGAGGGAAATATCAGGGAAACACTGACATCTATGAGCTCAAACAGGGAAATTTGAGAAATCTTATTTCAGATTAAATCCTAGGAACCTATAGAAATTACTCCTGAGCTGAAATTCAGAGCATTGCACTGCAGTTGAAATTTAGTGATTCCCCCTCAGCTATATATTGAAGTTTAATTTTCAAATATTTGTTGAACTGTGTTTTGGACCACTCTTAGCATTTGTCTTTCACATACAAACATTTTTTAAAAAAGTTGACATACTTGATTTAGTTTAAGATGGAATTCACTATTAAAGTTTATAATGATGTTCCCCTGATTGTCATGATTGACTTCCTATAGCATTTCAGCAGCCTCCATTTTTATGCAATTCACAAGAACTTTAAAGTAGATTAAAAAATATCCATCAGAAATTTTGTACTTTATTACAGAGTTCTATTTCAGATTTATAAAGTCAGCCATTTATTACACCACTGAAATTGAAAGCAAGCAGAATGTGTACATTTGTGAATGTAAAGACTGAAATGATGTATTAAAAATTAATCATATACTGGTATTTTTTTTTTACTTCATCATAAGTTGTATCATGTGAAATGGCAAAAGGAATGGTTTCCATAGTAATTTTCACATTAGATTATACAGAAGTCAAAGCACACAGAGCATTGAATAGTCTGAGCAGTTCTGAATATATATATATATATATATGTATATATACCTATTACTAAGCTACATTCCTGAATTTCCATCTGCACTATTTGCATATATAAACTCAATTGCACTGTCCATAATTTTAGGAAAGAACAGTGTGCAAAGACTTGTTCTAAACAGACTTCTCCCTCTCAGTTATCATAATTGCAAAAACTAAGTCAGAAATGAATAAATGAAAATTGTAATTTCAAAAGAGCTGAGAGATCAACTCTTCATGAAAATATCAAGGTTTAGCCAAACCACTAAAAATAAATACCTGTTTAACCCCTTAATGTTTACATGGCACTTTTCACCAAGCAACAGCAGGATCAATCACTTTGAAACCACAAGTCACATAAATTAAAAGTGCTAAGTACTGAAAATGAATAAACTTTTCTGCATATGTGACTCCTTATAACAAGTTCACATACACAAGCAAATATTGCTTTTAGTTAGTACCCTGTACCTATCAGTTTATGCAGATATAAAAATTCTGTCTAGAACAAGCAATGAGTAGAAATGTGCATCTACATCCTTCCTCTGTAAAGATACAATTGGTTTATATTGTAGTTTGTTGGATGAGCACTGGGACTCCACATTTATATACATTCCAATAGATCTACTGTACATTCTTCTTTAGTTTTATTTGATGTTCACATATACCTAGCAGCTTTTCTGCCTCTGCCTGTAAGCTCTCTGGCAAACCTGTGGTAACTCATCAACAAAGTTAATATAATCCGTCTTCAGCTTCTGGAGATGCAAGAACTTGTCATGTATGCACAGTCCCTATAGTGTAGGAAACCAACTCATACACTGGAGTGGTACTAGCACTACTTCAGCAAATCAGTACTAAAATGGAATGGACTGCGCTTTGGGGTATTTGGAAAAGGCAGAGAAATGCTCAATTTTTAAGCATATTGCCAATAGGTTTATACATAACAAATTATTAATGTTCTATCATTCTCTTGATATGTCTATAAGACTACTAGCTTGTATTTTGTCATGGGCTACCTAAATATATATGATGAGCAAGTAACTAGAATTCATTATAATAGGTGTAAATACATGCCATATTATTTAACTTGACACCTCAGTGTATGGCATTTCAAGCATATTCCTAAATTTGTGATATAACCATTTCTCATGTTACAATTTTAAAGCCATAAAAATGCTTATTCATGTTACTCACTGAAATATATACCAAAAATAAATATATTTGCAATGTATTAATAAGCCAAAGATATAATCCAGAAAATGTCAGGATATCCTACATGCAGTAAGATGTCACAGGCATTTTGTGGAAAACAGGCTACCAATTTACAGAATCATAACTGACTTATCTTCATACAATATTCTTCCACACCATGGTGGTGGTCTGATAACACACTTTTAACATCAGAAATTTCCTGCACAGGGAAGATAAAATAGAGGGAAGATATTAAGGAAATTGAAAGCTCTTCAGGAACAGAACACTGCTGACAACCTTCCACCACCACTACACTCATTTATGCTTGTCCATAATTTCTTTCTGTGCTGAGAATCACCAACTGAAACACAACTGTGCTGTCACCACAATCAAACATAATTCTATATGCTACTTTTAACAGAAGAAAAGAGAAAACAAATTTTCACCCAAAAAGTATAAATTTACTAAGTGAACATTCTCCTAACTATACATGGGATAGAAAAACTATGGCTCTCCAGCACATCCTTTACTGGTAACTATGCTGTCTTGGGCTGCTGGGAATTGTAGTGTAGTCACATAAGAAGAGCCACAGAACTCCTTCCTCACTATATAGTCACCATTTGAGAGTATCTAGCATTTAAAAGAAAGACCGATGAAAAAGGCAACCTAAGTTTAGAAACGAACTATGATTGCCAACTCCTTGACTCATCAATTCTATTATGACTAACTGCATGAATCTGAAAGTCTTATGGAACTAGTTCTTGTTGTATGTTATGATTTTAACTTCAATTTTTTTTAGCAGTTCATCTAAATTTATCAATATAATCTGAACTCTCACTCACACTTCATTAATAATTACTGTACGTTACTTTCTGCTGAAAAATTTTATACTAGTTGGGTGTTGTTCCCTCACATATTTATGAGTGCAAGAGATGAAGAATAGGCCATGCTTGCTGGTACTACCCCTGACCCTTGTGATCCACACACATGACACAGATGAGAAAGAATCTATGTTGTACCAAGAACTCCTTACAAACCTCTGATGAACCAAAGATTTACATATGAAGCTGGCTGTAGATGCACATATACAATTGTGACCACATTCCATTAAAAATTATTCAACCACAAATGGTTATAATATTCTACCTTGCCATACTTAAAAAAGATGAACCATTTCTTTTCCTCTGCTGTTTGCATGATGAACTTCAAATACACAAAACAGAATGTATTTTGACAAAAATGATCCTGAACACATTTGTAGCTTCACTTCCAATTTTCCACAGCATAATTTCATGTTAATCTCATCAGTCCTGTACATCAAAGTAGTCAATAACTGTCTCTTCTTTGAATCGTCTCTCTGTGCTGCTATTCCCATGCCTGAAAGTAACAGCAAAAGGTTAAAAGAATTTCACAAAAACATAAACCTTTTGGGTGAAAAAAAAGAAAATCGATGACCTTCCTTTTCAGGAGTACACTTGTAACAAAACTTTCTTTTGGCTGGCAGGATCAAATTAATCTAAGGAGAAGGAAGTTGCCTGGTCATATATATGTGTGTGTGTGTGTGTGTCTTAGCCAACCCTTCCACAAACAAGGAGAAAGGAGATCTGAACCAAGGAGACTACTCTACACAAGTATGCTTCCAGAGAGATTAACAGCTCTATGTGACTTTATATCCTATTTGTACTTGCCACAACAATTTTTTCGTACTAGCCACTTCTTTTGTCCCCACTCATTCATGTAGTTACTTCCTTTTCATTATTACTTTTCTTCCATCATTTAGCATAGCCATCATCATTGCTTAATGCTTTGTTTCCTCTCCTCACAGTGGTATCCACAAAAGAAGGAAAGCCATCCTTTGTGTTACAGATGTATCTAATCAAAATAAGTGGGAGAATGAGAGTAAGAAGATACCACCATGAAACTTCTCTCATGTTTCCTGCTCTAAGAAGTAGATCCTTCCAACTTTTTAAGGGTAGCCTTTTAGTGAATTCTGAGAATCTTCCTACTTATATCTTCTATAAATTTAAATGATAACAATGATAACAATAACAATAATAAAAAATACAAGATGTTGTGAAATGCATTCTAAACTGCCAAGGAGCATGTAGACTGGGATGGCCCAAAGGGAAATTTGCTGATTTCTTTTTAAGTTATGATGAAGATACAGGTCAGAGCTAGGCTCTTAATTTTCACCTTCTGGTTCAAACTTGTCTTCTTACCTTGTATTGTTCTGTGCTGGTCTGGCCATAATTAAGCTTCAAGTATAGTCTCAAAAAATTGAAGATGGGGAAGAAATCTGTGTAAGTTACACTAGTGTTAAAGTCATCTCTTTGCTTTCTTGCTGGAACAAAGTAGATGCCAACTAGGCATGCTACAGATGAATATATTCATACCTAATCTCAGATAACTATCAATAAAAATATACTAAATCAACAGAGATATTTGAAAGAAATGATACTTACTTTTCTGATTGCTTGTGATGAGGAATAGGTGGGGGGGGCCTGGCTTGCTTCTCCTTGGTAAGTAATGATGTCAGAGTAACTGTTGGGCAAACTGATTTCCCTCTACAGAAAGAAAGCCATAATATCAAAGAGATTTGTTATATGATGCCTATATGATGCAACCAAATACCCTTCTTACTGCATTACCACCACTTCTATTTTGGATTACATGAATTTTGTAGGTAAGAGGAAAAGCATTTTTTTATATAGCTCTCTGCAGTAAACAGGTTTTCAGGTTAGATTAATGCTTTCATTAAATAACACTATTCAGGAGGAATAGAAAAGTATTAGTGCCATACAGAAATATTAGTGACAAACACATATACTAAGGCACAGAAACAGGCTTTTTTCAAAAAACTGACATCTATGGACTACAGAGACATAGGGGAATGAGCCCATGTAACTCATGGTATTTAAGTGGATTCTTGTTTTGTTTGAAATTATGATTTGATCAAATTATTACAATGTCCCAATATATGAAGATAAACTACATAATCAAGGACATTTTCAATGAAGAAGGGATCATGAGAATACATCTTTCCTAAACACAAAATATATATTAAAATTCCTGGCACACAAAGAATGCTTAAAATGTTTGCACAATAACAATGCAAAATCAAATTGGTTCAGATACAGAACATAGAAATTATATCATTTATTGGAAGGTGATAAATTTGCCATTTATAACAAGAAAACAGAACAACATACTTCACCGCACTGATAACAACATTGCGCTTTGGTTCGTTATCATAGCTCACACTCTCAATGCCGTAAACCTGAGCAAGTTCATGGATGATTCGACGGTGTTCTCTGTTCATGGGTGGAAAACAATGACTCTTCTTTGTGTGCTTGCTCTGTATTAGAGAGACATATTATTTTGATGAAGTCTGGAGAAGACCAAATGCTACCATCTATGTTTTCTTTGTGCATGGAGAACTGGGCAATGACACACAAAAACACCTTTTTTTCTGAAGTGAAATCAAGAAATATGACACCACTCTTATAGAAAAGACCTGGGAACTTGAGCCCTGGAATCAGAAGGATTCAAGTCTTTTATTTTAAGGGCAACCTCAATTCCTATGATGAACATTCTTGTGGTGGTCTTTTTATATTAATTGGTTCTAAGTTTATGATCCACAAGTTCTGCTTTACCTGTTTGTCCTCCATTTCTGTATCTCTGAGCCTGTAAGTGGATCATTATACATTTTATTATTTAACATCTATATTCCTCCTCAACAGCTCATGTCCCACATTAAATGACATCTGGGACATTCTGAAGATTGGCCCCTGCAAGTCTCAAATGAAGTCAAACATGGGGCAAACAATGAATTTTACTTGTTATTATTATGATTTAATAGCATCCTTCTTTGTTGTGAAGGAATATTCTTCCTGGGGGTTCCAAAGATTCTGGAATAAACTATGGAGCTGGAAACTGTTCCAAATGGCAGCTAAGTGTGATTTTGTATACTGAATAATTCTGCCATAGGAAGTTGTGACAGACAGCTCACCTACTGGAGGTGGAATGGATTGAAAAGCATTGTGTTTTTTTAATGATTTCATCTAAGTTGACATGCATTGTAACTTCCTTTTCTGTTGGTGGGTGTCTGGATAAAGATCATCTTCTATAAATCGCCAAATTAGTAGTTTATGGCCCTGACCATAAACAGAGGATCTTGATTCATGTTATTCCTCATCTGGAAAAGGACAGACGGTACAGATAGTCTGGCAGGAACATATATGCTCTTAGAGTCTGAATGGGATCAGATTGAGCATTTAAAATTAGAGGCTCCACTTGTAACTAATTATCTATTAATATAATAGTTAATGATTTCAAATAATTAATACTGAATATCCAGAAAGTCTTAGCCAATTCCTCAAAATAGAAATTGGGCTCAAATTATAATTTTATACTTTAGTATAATTAAGAATGTGTCATAGCAAAAAAAAAAATTATGAAAACTATAAGGCATAGAGCTTCATGTTGCAATATTTCTTGACGCAGCATTCTTGAGAGAGAAAAATTATGAAACTCTTCTAAAAAAGAAGCAACAACTCAAAAAGAAAATTGTGAAAAAATTGCCCAAATTATGAAAGCAATTTTTTTTTTCAGCATTCTGGCACTTTGACCCTCTGACCCCTGTGCTTCTATCAGTTTCCCTTATGTCTCATCTTAAAAAAGGATAAAGACCACTCCGTTCTCTTCCTACTCTCTTTCTATGCTTCTACATCCTGGAAAGAACAAAAAGAGATTGTTCCCCAATCCCCAAAGTCTCTCAAATGCCAACTTACATTTCACAAAGCAGAATGGCAATAAGAACGTTCCAAAGATTATTGACCACCTGATCTATGGAGCACAGCACAGGTAAATAAATACTTTTCTAAGGCACTCTTGAAACTGTTTCTAAAGGCCTTATTAATTGTACCTTATGTCAGCCCTTTGAGGTAGTCCAGACAGGAAACCAAAACCATGAGTACTAGGACTACCTTTATTGTAAGGTAACAGTAACAGAGTCTTGCAAGTCTGAAAGCACTTCTCCCCTCCCTTGCCTTTACTTTCCAAGGAACTAGGGAGGGTCCCTTCTGACTCGCTTCCCACATCCCCATTCCTTCTGTGGGCTGAGATATCCTTTGTTGGACAGTTGTCCTGGCTGCAGCTCTTCCTTCTCACATCCCATTATACCTTATTGCAATTCTAATTATTTACTTAGGGCAGAGACTAACCCTTGGCTAAATATGGTCTGCTGCAACCAACAAAATTAGAAAGCAGATTCAACAGTAGCCCTTTGCAGGAGCGTCTTTATCCATACCACAGGGAAGAAACTGAATCTATTGGCTATATTCTTCTTTATTGTCCCTTTTTACTTATCTTGATGAAAAGATTAAATTACATTACTTTCATTTAAATATTGCAGAAAGCCAAATGATGAAAATTCTGTTCTTTTCCAGCTCACAGGTAAGTCCACAACAGTTTCTAGGAATGTCACAAAATTTGTGTAATTGCCTTTGCAGTCTGTCACAAGATTGTTTAGACTATGACAGTGTATCTAATTTTCTGTCTCTTTTATATAATAGTCAATAGTAAGTATGTTGATTATGTTATTGGCTATTCATTATAATGTATAACACTGGAGTTAATAACTTTCTGCCTATACTGGTTGGTTCTGGTCTAAGATTAAAGACTTTATTTAAGATTTAAGACAGGTTTTCTTCATTACTAACCTTATTGACTGCTTCTATAAGGGCTTTCATTTCTTTCTCAACATCACTGACAAACTTCAAATCTTTTCTGCAGCAAAAAGAAACAGTAATTAACAATAATTTAAAAGGCCAATGACAACAGTTCTGTAACTGAAGATTTTTTTTTTCAGCATAAACTGGGTATATTATTAAAAGTTTCTGATTTTCCTTCAGTTTTAACCATTTTGTTTCGTAGAGAAGGAAATTTACTCTGGTTTTCACACCTCGAGATAGTAGATTTCATATATTTTAAAAATAATTTAAAAAAATAAAAGTATAGTCTCCCCAAAACCTGTGCAGATACCGAGGAAAAAAATCATCCTTTTGGGTATTTAATAGCTGCTGGAATAAGTTTATCAACAATTTACTGTGCCTTTTCTAATGTTGAAAACAATGTTGTGCACTGTGGACTGTGCATGTATGTCATTAGAATGGGCAGTGACTGATTATGTGCCACCAAGTTGGTGTTGACTCTTAGTGACCACATAGATTTTCTCCACAATGAGCTATCCGCAACCTAGTCCTTCAGGTCTTCCAAAAGTGTACCCATTGCCAGTAATTGAACTGTAATTGAATTCAACCACCTACTGCTGGTTGTCCTCATCTTTTCTTTCCTTCCACCTTTATAGACTTCTCAAGAGAGCTAGATCATCACATTATGTGGCTGAAGTATGATAATTTCAGCCTGGTCATTTGTGCCTCAAGTGAGAATACTGCACTGATCCATTTGTTTGTTTCCTTGACCATCCACAGTATTCTCAGAAGTCTTCTCCAACACCAAACTTGAAAAGCATTAATGTTCTTTCTATCCTGTTTCAAAGTCCAACTTTCACTTCCATAGACTGTCACAAGGAAAACCAATGTCTGTTCCATTCTGTTCTTTATAGGTATAGACACATGCAGCATCTGAATATCTTTTCCAAGGCCTTCAAGGCTATTCTATCAAGGACTAGTTTATCAAGGGCTAGTGTATTTCTCCCCTTCATGGATCACTGCCTTGTCGTGGCGAAGGGGCTTGCATAACTCAGTGAAGC